GCGCCTGCCGCCCTAGGATCACACCACAGCGCGTCGTCGCACAGGTTTTGCATTTGGCAAGGTTGAAAAACGCTACAGCTTGGAACTTATTTGCTCCAGTTCTAAGATTAATTTATTCAAATGAAATATTAATTTGAAACGTTTTTGTTTCACAAGTATGCTACAACCTATATGACTGAACGTTTTTATATTATCAACAGGTTCTTGGCTGTATTTATGTATACTGCTTAACTGGTTTATAATAATTAATATAATGTTATTATGTGTCGGATAGATCTTGGGGGAAATATTATGAATGATGAAGAATGTGTAAAATTTGTATCCCTCCGCGAGACAGTAGTTTCGATAAAGGCCGCTAGAGTCCGTCAGAATCATAGCACTTTTCGCCGTGCAAGGTTTTACGCGGTTTCATTTTGCACATACAAAAAATAATTTTTTCTTGAAACTAAAAGTGACTTGATATTTTTAGTTAAATTTCGCACTAATATTGCTTTATTAAAAATCGATAATTTCATAAAAAGATATTATTATTTAACTATAAAGTTCACTAACTTTGACAAGTCGTTGCCCTTGATTGCGTAAGCATAGACATTTTTTAAAAAGCAAACTTAGTAGAACCACTCTTTATATACAAAATGGTGTTTGGTTCACAATTTAAATGTTAAAACTAGAATCGCTATATGATACCGCGCGAAGCGGTTTTCTGACGTTTTTCGGCGGGGTAGGGAACCCTCTTAAGGGGGATGGACCACAAAGACTAAGACAAAATTCTTATATAATTTTAATACTATTTTACCTGTTTTTGAAATGGCGACCATACAAATGTATGCATTTTAAGCCAAGTATGAATGGAGATGACTGTGTGATGAGTGGAGCGATCTTGTTGTCCTGTTAGTGACTAAGGCCGACATAATCCTTAGACACAGCTGTTAATTAATAGTCCATACAGTCAATTAATAGCAGCAGAGGTCAAGTTTGGTATCAAATTAAAGGTTTTATTCATAAAAATACATTGCCGCAAACCCAAACTCAAACGATGATGATGATAATAACGTTAATGATGTCGCTAAAACGTATAGTTTGAAATTTAACAGCTGAAAATAAGTGAAATAGAAAAGGTTTTGGTTAAATCCATCAAATTGTAATTGGACACTAGTATCGTAATTGGAACAATTTGAGAGTATCGTATTGTTCAAGTCGATGGAAAATCTCTGTTGATCCTGTTTTACAAGCAAACCAAAAAGATACAGTAGTCACCACTCTATGCGACATATTCTAACCAGAAAATTGTAATCGTATGATTCTATAAGCATTGGTAGGATTGCAAAGTACTACACAAACATTATTTCGAGGGTAATAACAGTCACAATTTCCGCTGACCTTAAAAGAGTCAACTAAACTATTATACTAATGGACACACAACTAAATGGAAAAAAACTAATGGAAATTCTCACGATGTACCCATTCGTTCGATATAAACATTGAGTATACACGTCAGTACATACGTGTATACCCAATGATATAAGCAACGGTTCTTGCAATTTATTGCTTATTGTTTTTTAGAGTTGTTTTCGGACTTACTCTGTTTTCGGACTTACTCACACTCGTATAAGGTTTTCCACGTTTGTCATTGATAGTGTAGCCATGTTGCTTTGAAATGGCGACCATACAAATGTATGCATTTTAAGCCAAGTATGAATGGAGATGAGTGTGGGATGAGTGGAGCGATCTTGTTGTCCTGTTTGTGACTAAGGCCGACATAATCCTTAGACAAAGCTGTTAATTAATAGTGCATACAGCCAATTAATAGCAGCAGAGGTCAAGTTTGGTATCAAATTAAAGGGTTTATTCATAAAAAATACATTGCCGCAAACCCAAACTCAAACGATGATGATGATAATAACGTTAATGATGTCGCTAAAACGTATCGTTTGAAATTTAACAGCTGAAAATAAGTGAAATAGAAAAGGTTTTGGTTAAATCCATCAAATTGTAATTGGACACTAGTAAATACTAGTGCACTTGTTGCTACCTCCCCCCTTCGGTTTCATGTATTCCTCTCAATCAGTTCAAACCTAGAAGGATTAAACATTAATGTTACCTAATTAATGTTAAATCCTCCTAGACTCAAACCTGAAACACCCAGATCGAAACTCGCCTGTCGTCATTTTACCATCGCCTTTTTTAAATATATTTTTCAAAAAAAGAAAGATTATATTGATTTACTTTGGATTTTAAAAATGTGAACGTTTTATTTTGTTAAAGATTTATGGTGATACGTAAATATTGTGGTGTAGTAAAGTATATTATATTGTAGTTAAGTGTTAAATTTTGAAATTTTAGGGTGAATCGAGATGAATCTTTTTTTATAACATGGGTCTCTCCTACCTTAACAAACATACCAAGTTCCATAAACATCGGTTGGAAAAGCGCAAAGATAAATATTTGTATGTAAAAAATACAAAATGGTGGATATCTGGTTAACGAAACGATTTCGGAAAAAAATTTATCCTTGATTTTCTGTTTATTTCGACCCGAGGAATTACTAGGTAATATCTCCCCGCTCATTTTTAACACCCTGTTTATGATGTATTCTTATAAGTGAAAAATGTAAGCTGGTAATACAGAAAGATGTTTTATAAATAATATGAATGTACTGGTGATCTGTATATTCATCTTTTTCTTGTTCTTAGAACTGTAAATTAAAAGTCCACTCAGCAGTCGCATCGTACGATGTAGTTATTTCCATGCGTTGCGAAATGCTAAATTTGCCGTCCTCTTCAACCCAAGTTATCTATTGAACCACTGATTGTAAAAAATTAAAAAAATATATATTTTACACATCACACTTTTGGCTACAACTTTGCCACAAACAAAACCTCTCTAACCCAAAAACAAACAAAAATCTCGCATGCTAACTTTTTCATGTTAGAAATCACGATTTAAAACTATTCACCATACATATCAATTTTTATTAATTAGATCGGTAAATAGTTTAAAGTTCCAACAAAATAGTCATCGAGTAGGACTAACCAAGAAGCTCTGTGCCAATTTTCAAAATTTTAGCACAACTTTAAGTACACCAAAACGCGAAATTATTGAAGTCATGCGTCGAGAGGACTATCGTTGTTTTTAACAGATTATACTTTTGACCTTCCGGCACTGTTGACTCAGCGAAACTGAACTTATATTTTATCTTATTTCGTTATATTAAAACTGCTGTTGCATTAGGTCAAATTCCCAATAAGTCAATTGCTTTAACATAGACCACGTTTTTAGCTCGGACTGTACTATTTGACTTACTGGGATTTTTGATCTACAGACACTGCAATCATTGTAGTTTTTGACCTAGCGGCACAGGTATAAATTATTTGACCTTCCGGGACTGTTGACTTTCTGCAACGCGTCCGCCATGAGAAACATGCTATTTGAAACTCCAACGACAGAAAAATATACGTTAAGTTTAACGATTAAATTGTAGTTATTTGTAGCGCCCAAAAACTGTTGTGCCGTTACCTACTTTTAAGAACAAACAATCTGCCCTCTACTTAGTGATGTAAAAATCATTATACAGGTTGTTATGGTCGTATTAAGTTATTATAAAGATCAAAATAACTAGGCCTACAATTTTTTCTTTAGTTGGGGTAATTTTGATGAAACAATACATTTACAGTCTTCATTTTATGCTAGAATGTTCTACTATAAACAATGTAGGCTATTAAGAACTGCAAAGTCCTTTTAGCCCTCCGAGTGTTATGTGTCAAACATAACTTTGTGTAGTGTCTTGTGTCGATTTTTCGACTCACAAACACTGTTTACGGCGAAGGCTCTATGACTGACAAAATCGGATTGAACTGGATCGAGTTAGGTATCGTTTTATTTGGCAGATTCTAAGCTTTCTCCCAAGGTCTGTCTCTAAGCGCTTTTTTTTTCTCGAGCCAATCATAATTGTAGCAGACAGCTGACGTGCGTATTTGTAAACAGCTTGGTTAACCTCGCACCGATGACTGATGTGTTTTATTACGTTTATCATTGTTTTAGCGTTAAAAATCAAAAGTAGTGATACATGGTGCATTATAAGAAGATTTAAGTGATTTTGAAGGGCTGGTTGATGATCCTGAAGAAGTAGGTAGTGATATTGATGTAAATTATCAGCCAGATTCCTAGCTATGGTTAGGCTATGCATTCTTAGCTAAATGCTATGTACTGAAATCTGTTTTTTGCCCATAACTTATTTATTTGCAAATCTACTTCCTTATATAATTATATATTTGTAATCCTCATAAAGTTTAGAACAAAGTTGCTATTTTCAAATATTTATAGGCCTATAATTTATACAATTTCATTGAGCGCAAACTTATTTTTTTTGTTTGAAAATTTTCCAAAATATTTTTTTTACCTAAACCTTTTTTTGGAAACAAATGTTCCTTATGTTTTATGTATAATATTGAAGCTCATGATTTTCCAAACAAAATGGTATATAGAACAGTATAATTAACATTGTTTTTAAGCTTCTCAGATCCGTTTTAATAAAACCTTGCAAATGCGCAAAAAATAGGCAAACATTAAGGCCAAAACTAGGGACACTCGGAGGGTTAGAGAACCTGCAATTGGGTGAAATATCAGTTCGTTATACAAATCGTACTTGATATTATTCCCTGCGATATAAATTCCGATTTTTGTTTTGAGTATTAAAGGTATCGTGATATGAATATTTAGAGTCTTTTCAAATAGACTTTCACACTGTGCTGTTGGTGGTTAAACAAGGTTAGTTCAGTTTGGTTTAGTTTATGTTAATAAAAACCAGGTAACGCCTAAATAAATACAAATTGTTCCAATAGCATCATCATTGGGTTGGGTTAGTGTTGTACAGTTTTGTATCAAAACTGATTGTCAAAAGCGCCAAATTATACCTAGTTGTGTCTTTTCATGAGTAACTTAGCTTATAGAAAAAAGCTAAACATTTTGTTAATGATACCTTGTTTGTTTATAAACTATAGGCCTACCACTTTCAAAAGAACCAGCGCAGAACCATGGCTGTCTCGCGCACGTAGGGATGAAGGGTGATGGTGGGGAAGGGCCTGGAGCTGTGGTGGGGATAAGTCGTTGGGCGAGGTGTCTTTCCCCACCACTCTGACTCTCCTGCTGTCCTGCATGCACAACTCAAACAGGTGCGTGGTTTTTTTCTATGTGGTAGGCCTATAAGCTAACATAACCTAAACGCCGCAATGGTCTCTAAAAGATTGGCGGGTGGTCCTCTTTTTAAAAAGACCCATAGCCTAACAGATTAATAAGCAGGCCTATTTCTTTCAATATATTTTATATAAATTAGAAGCTATTGTCATTAGGCCTATTAATTTATAGAAACTGAAAATTTGATAGGATAGGATACATTAAAGTTTCTCTCTCTGCAGAACTTTTCCCCATAACATTGCTGTTGCAGTGCAATGTAATTTTCAGAATCAGTCTTCTTCGCTTTGTATTTAGGCTAAGTAAAATTGATTTCATTGAAATTGATTGCATATTAGGGAAAATTATTACCATGTTTAATAGCCATGATAAGGTACAGTAGACTCCCTCTTATTCGGACGCCTTTTAACCGGACATCGGTTAAACCAGACAACACTCGGTGGAAATTACATCTCTTTAACCGGGCAATTTTTATCAGCACATCGGTTTAACCGGACTAGGTCAGCAGGAAGTGGGAGGTAAGCGTTACTGAAACGACTGTTCTTGTGTTCAGGATATGAAAACAGTGATTACTAGTCTAAATACAATGCTCTACTACATTTTAGTCAAATGCTGTAAATACAGTATGTATTTAAACGGTCAGTTTTAATGAGTTTTTGGGACGTCAGTTTAACCATAAAACCCATTATCCGGACTGGCCTCGGTCCTGAGAGTCTGGATAAGAGAGGGAGTCTATTGTACTGTATATTTTACTATGTTATAATGACACGAATAAAAAAATAACAACCTAAACTTCATGCAATAACCCCATAGTACGACATACAATATGTTTACTAGTGTGAACTATGCTGTAGGCTTCACATTGAATGTGTTGCCCAAGTTTATTAAATTTAAGCTAAAACACAGTTTGTTGTTACAGGGTCATTGATTGAGGTGCTGGTGAACTGATTGAAGACTTAAAAATGTTTTGCTATTAGTGTGAGATGTGATAGTACAGACTGTTGTGATAAATTACCACTGTTTATGATTTACTTTATACGTTTTAAAATAAATGTTCTACATAAACGATTAAAATTGAATGATAATTTACAATGCCACTATTTCCAGCTGTAATAATGTTTTTTATACTTCTTTTAATTATTTTTTTACTTTGTTTCTAAACATAAGTTCTGATGTAGTCAATACTAGTGTAGGTACCTGTTGCTCGAATTCGAGCAATTGCGAAGCATTACAGTCGACTCACGAAGATTATGGAAATACTTACAATCCACACAAGTTAGATATAATCAAAATCTTTTGTAAATATCTTATCTTTTCTCAAAAAGCTGATCTTGTCTTTTTAGTGTTTTCTACAAATTTTTCCCTCTCATAGCCGCATTAGGTTGTCTATGATAACGATTATAAATTAAAAAAAACATTATTTCTATTTCTTCTGCTTGGTTGTGTTCTATGACTTTTTCTATGATTCCATTGTTTACAAATCAGTTATTTCAATGATTGCTCAAGAAATGTAGAGCAGTGTTTATTCAGTTTTATTTTTAGCCTATATCTAATTGTCCAGGATATCTGGTTTTTTCCATTGTAATAATTTCACCAACCCAAGTTTCGTCGACAGATGCAATATGCCAAAGAATATCACCTACGTACAATCTCCAAGAAGTGGTAAAAAAAAGCAGAAACCAAGCCATACAATAGATATAAGTTAACCCCTTAAGAAATAATTTTAAGATTTACTGTGATATTAGGATTTTCCACTGATTTGGTAATAGAACATTATATTGCAAAACATGACACGATGCAGATGAAAATCAATTTTAAAATCAGAAAAACCCATTGCAAATACTGTACTTCATTTTGAAAAATTCAATAAATCACAATTTAAATATTAACAGCTGTTTCATTAAAAAGTAGTGTTGAATTATGCTTATGGTAAACAAATTTGAAAAGGCAACTTTAAAGGGAATTTACCTCGTTCCTCTTTTGATGGCTCATCTATAGACCAAGACCTTTCTTTAGAGACCCCTACCAAGTTTCTACGCCCAGCCGTACAAAAACCCAGTTTATCCTCCATAAGAATAACATGGGATGGGAATTCAAAGGCCACTGGGGCAGAGCCCCAAGGGAATTTACCACGTTTCTCTTTTGATGGCTCATTTACAGACCAAGACCTTTCTTTAGACACCTCTACCGAGTTTCTATGCCCAGCCGTTCTCTCAATTTAGCTATGACAAAGAAAAACAGTTTCAAATTAATATAGGGTGAAGTGGGGTAAGAGTAACCAGGGGGCTAGTGTAACCACGGCTTATCACTCAACTGATAAGATAATTTTGAACCTAAATACTATCATATCTTGTTATTTGGACCTTCCTTTGTTATATTTAGCCTTAAGAATGCATATAAAATATGTGCAAGTAATAGTTTTAGAATGTTTAAAAAAGGCTTACATTTCCACTCCATCGGCAAGTGCCGACCTCAAACTTTGACAATTTTTCATACTCACATTTTTAATGTAAATTTGACAGTTTTTGGTTTACAAACTAATTTTTGCATTTAGAATCTGAATATAACTTCAGATCTGAGCTATTTCCTATTGTTTAGATTTTACAAGCGTGGTTACACTTACCCCTAAAATTTTGCAGTCGGGGCAAGTGGCTCTTTGGATTCGGGGCAAGTGTAACCAGGGTGTAACTCATATAATATCCAGTAAAGAAAAAAACTTTGTTGTAAATATAAAATTAGGAATTTAGAAGATAAGGTAAAATTTTACACATATTGTTACTAAGTTAAGTTGGTTTGAGAAGAAAAACATAGTTGTTTGTGAGTGAACTGCTTAAGTGGTTATATAACTTTTACGTTAAACTTACCCCGTTTTATAATTTAGGATTTTCTTGCCCAAATGTAAATAAAAAAAACAATATTACTGTGAGATTTATTCTACACATGTTAAACAACATTAAAAACCATGTAAGTACCATTTAATGTTGTGTTTTTTATGTTTTAACAGTAATCTTTCCATTTTGCATGTTTTGCGTTTTTCACAAAACGCGAGAAGAGGTTCACGAAAAAGTTCGTAACTTGAGTAAAAATTAAGATATTTTAATAAGTCAAAAAGTCTTGGAATCAGCAAAAGATTTGGAATCTGGCCACTTGCCCCATGTCTCTTTTTCAATGCTTTATATATTTTTAACAGGCAGGGGTTACACTTGCCCCGAACCCTGGGGCAAGTGTAACCACAAAACGCAAAATTTTTAAAAAATTTTTTTACCAAAAAAGATTTTATTTTTTTATAATAATAGATATTGTTTTAAAGCCCATTAGTCAAAGTTTATGCATAAAAATTTTTAGAACTATATCATGTATAACAAGATGGCAATTTGAGGTCAAAGCTGAACTATGCCAAAACGTGGTTACACTTACCCCACTTCACCCTATAGATTTGCATAATCCCAATGTGTAATCACTTGCACTTTCAAAAATATAAAATAGTAAACACAACAGCTTTCTATATACCATTGTTATTATTTATGGGTGTTTTTGTATTGCAATCGTTATGTTGCAAGTGTAGTTGCAGATGCATTGGTCTGTTTAAATGTATAAAGGAACTAAAATAAAATCTGAAAATTCCAGACTAACATAAAGATTATTCAAACAAAGGAGTTGAAGTATGTAAAAAATTCCTAAAACTTTTCTCTGGATGGTATTTTAATTTATTTTATAATTGCAATGATTCTGCTTCACTCAAATTCCAGGGCATGGACTTTAAATACAACATGAAAAATAATAGGATTTCCTGGAATTTTCCAAAATGTTTGTGATCATTCTCAACATCCCAGGCAATTTCCTTGAATATACTCAGATCACTCAACAAAAATATTCTAAGAAATTTTTTTTATAGAAATCTGGATAACATTCTCAGAATATTCTGGTAAAGTACTCTGGAATATTCTGAATTAAATTATTAATTTTGTCAAGTACCACAAAATAACTTGAAAAATACAAAAAACAATGTTTTTAGGGTAAAAATGGGAAAACCCAATTTTTAGTCCATTCCCATAGTCAGTATTAAAGTACCGAATAAAATGCAACGGATGATGGGGGTGAAAGACAAGGCTATTAAAAAGAAAAAGAGGTTGCCTCAGTCGCGCGTATGACGTCACCCGCCGACCCGGACGGTGCTGCTTTTAATTCACACAGCTGTCACCTGTCAAGTACTTTGTTATTGTTGTTTGTTTTTCATTTATTTATTTGTAAACAGATCTGGGTCGGCGGGTGACGTCATACGCGTGACTGAGGCAACCTCTTTTTCTTTTTAATAGCCTTGGGTGAAAGAGATGTCAGAATCAAGTCTTCAATCGTCATGGAGGTAGCCAGGTAGCTAACAGCAGAACTGAACTGAAACTGGACTCTGGACTGAACTTGAACTAGTAAGTTATGTCGAACTCATGTGAGTCGACTCGTTGAAGACCAAGTACAACTGAATTGGTTCTTTCTGGCGCATGCGCAGTAGACTAGTCCAATTCCTGCCCTGAAACGCTCGCGGTCCGTGGTGTGGTGTGGCCGTGTTGTGAGTGCCGGACTGGGACTGGCGGAACGGAACCGGACTGGCGGAACGGAACCGGACCGGACCGGACTTGCCGGAAGCCGGACCGGAGGGAGAATGGAGATTTGGAGATTAGCATGCAACAATCATACAATATTGATATTTTTACCATTTGATTTTGATACCTGTAGTAAATACTTGTAATTAATTCAGTGTGTTTTTTATAGTTGAGACTTGTGTTGGTTAGCCTATGGTTGAGACTTATTTGAAGTATGCATAGCACGAATGGTAAGTTTGGATGGAACATGCATCGAACAGTAGGAGGTACAGCATAGTGCATAGGCCTAACCTAGTTTACCCATGCTAGGTTTAAATCTCATTTGAGGGTTTGGTGCAACTCTTGTATGAAAGTAATAATGTCTCTTACACTATAGTAACAATAACCATATAGGCCGACCGGCTGCACTTTAGTTTATGTCCTACACTCATTTGAATGACTATAGGATCAATTGATAGCCCATATAGATTATTTCATTTGATATATGGTAGGTGTATGGCCCGGATTCATACACCTACCTTCGATACATCTAGTTTGGTCAGGTTACCTGACATGTAAGTTATCCTCTGCCTTATTTAAAGGTTCAACTAGCCTAGAGGCCTACCCTTAGCCTAGTCTAATAGGTGGGTAGGTCACGTGAATTTGACATAACTTAGGGTGAGTTATTTTTAGCGTCTCACTCCCCACTCCTAGGGAAGTTAGTACTACTTAATTACTTAGTCGGTACTAAGTTAGTACTTATCAAGGGTACAGTTTCTTAACTGGGCTATGCTAATATTGATTGAAACTATCGACCCGATTAAACCTTCAAGTTTGGTTGGTTAGGTTAGGTTTTTGGGTACAGTTTCTTAACTGGGCTATGCTAATATCGATTGTAACTATCGAATTGAAAATATTGATTAATAATCGATATTTTTAAATATATTTATTATGAAATTAAACTATCTTAACCTAACCTAACCAACCAAACTTGCTGATGGTGAAAAAATCGCATGAAGGTTTACTGATCGAATCGGTAGTTTCAATCGATATTAGCATAGCCCAGTTAAGAAACTGTACCCAGGTTTTTTTAATTTTATAATAGATATATTTTAAAATATCAGTTATTAATCAATATTTTCAATTAGATAGTTTCAATCAATATTAGTGTAGCCCAGTTAAGAAACTGTACTGGTACCCGGTATCAATATTTTCCTTTCTGAGTATCGGTATGAAATTATTAATGTAGGCTACCTAAGTTACATCTAGTTCCTATTTTTAAGGCCATTGGTAAAATGTATAGCCTAAAGGGAAATTATTTAGGCCTAAGTAATAACTTAATAATTTGTTACTGTCATTTTCATTAACTTAACTAGGCCTATGGTAGCTTAAGTTATAGCCTACATTTTGTTCAGTTTGGTCAAGCTTAAGTTAAATTAACCCTTTGAGTGCCAACGTCCGGGGAACCGGACGTTTTTAAAACGAGCCAAAAGTGCCGCCGACCGGACGTTTTTAGAACGAAAATTCGTAATGATCGAACAGTTGTCATAACAACCGAATGGATACTCGGATTCTTTTAACCCATATATTAACATTGAGTCGAAAGTTACTAGATGCGATACATCGATTTTCGTTGGTCGAAATATCAAAAATTCGATTTATACGAAATTTTAATCGCCAGATCGCGCTCGGCATTTTTAGCGCGACCTTCGGGAAAAATCATCGGCATTTTTTGAGCGTTACTTATATTTTTTGCCTGGCACTCTAAGGGTTAACTTTGTTATATGGCATAATAAACCATATGATTGTAAACAAAACAATATGCCCTCAAACTAACATGCTCTAACAGGGTTTTCAATCTGGACACTAGTAGGCCTTTTGTCAGGAAATTAGCTAGTACTTGAAACTGGTATTACAGAAACACTGTCAATCTTTTTAACTATTTCTTGTCTTGTGTAAAACATTTCATCAAGGTTTACTGGCCATTTCCAATTTGGTCCCGACTTAGTCATACATTGCACTTTATAAAGAAAGCTTTTTTCCTCCTGTTTAATCTCAGTGATTTGGCCGGGAAAATACTCTCCTTCATAATCAACCACTACATAGTCTTTCTGTTTTAAGTCTTCATCAGCATTCGCTTGTAAATAGGCTAGTTGATGGATTCAGAAGAGTCAGAGTTTTCTGAGTCACTATAGACATCGGTATATTTCAAGCGCCTCTTCACAGCAAGTTGTTTTTCGTCTTCCGACCCAAAAACAGTAACTCTTGTCATTAAAGAAACTGCAGTCTTAGAAATGAGCAAATCTTTGTTATCATAAGGGCGAAAATGGTGGCAAGCTTGAATTTCAGGTATGGGTAACACTTTCTCCCATCTTTTGTCCAAAAAGGGTGCATTTTTTTCTACTTCTCTGTCCACGTACAAAGACTTGATTTTTGTATTGAATGTTTGATCTACATAATGATGAAATTTTTTCGCATCATCAATTAACACTTTCCTTGATTTCACAGCTGTCCAAACATTTCGTTTCACCGTCCCTCCGATTCCGTCCACTGCTCCTTTTCCGTGAGAGCTTGAAAAGAAATTCCACTCAATATCTAAGTTAAAGTCAGTTTGAAAAAAGCAGAGATTACTCAGAGTGTACTTGTTTTTGAATTGTTGGGCCCAATTATCAGAAAACATGTAAATCTTATTTAACTGTTTGTACGTGCTTCTGATTTCTTTAATCAAGGCTTTCAAGTAAGTATATACTGCATATTTGCTGTGTGATCTATATCATTACTAACTATCACATAAGATGAACAAGTGTTATCAGGAAACCAAACACAGCATGTAAACTGGGTGACTTGGCTATGCGACCAATGCGTACTCTGGATCTCATCTTGGCTTATAAGGGCGTAGTTTTCCGCAAAATCCATTGCATGACAATTTCACCATCAATCATCTCTTTTTTGCGCCTTTCAAAACAATCACTTTGGATTTTCTTGGCATAGCAGTGTTTTTTAAACTTGGGTAGCTGCTTAGTTAGATTTTCCAGGGCATTTTGGCAATCTGCCGAATGTTGCCGAAGGACAGGACGTCTTGCACTGTCATATTCCCACTGCTTCCAAACAGTGAGTTTTGTCAAGTCTGTATTTGAAGAAATAAATTTACTTAAGTCATAGGGACATTTTGAACATTGCCCCGACATACACATTTCATTCATTGGCTTACAACATAATTGATCAATTAGTTCCTGATGATTGTTTGGGATTGTAGGAATTTCTTTGTGAAGGGCTCTTTGTAGTTCAATGAAATTAAAATGATATATACAAACACACATGTGGGGTATCTGCTAATAGCATCACATGATCTGGTCGAAGAGAGAAAAAAGTAGATTTACCAATGTTTGCCTCAGGAAAACACTTTTGAAATTCAGAAAATGCTTCTCCAACTGTCATTACCATAAATCTTTTCTAAATTTTTACCTTTTTTCTCCCTTTCTTCGGATTATTTTCACGTCTTTGATTCCAGGTGCCTGACGACTTATATCATCCCGACAAAAAAAAGTCAATAACACAAGACTTAAGTTCAGGGCCGTTGAGAGACTTTATGGGCCCCTGTGCAACTTACTACCCCAGTCCAGAGGGGGGTCCGGGGGTCCTCCCCCGGGAAAATGTTGGAAAATTAGACCTGTAAACTCACATTTTTAGGCTATTTAGCGACATACAACAGATATTTTTAATTGTAAAAAATTGTGTTTTAATGTCAATCAAATTTGTGTGAATCTTACGCAAGTAATACTATTTATACATATACTGATGAAGAGCTCATTTAAATAAGAAACTACAGAAGTCACAATTTCAAGTTAGTATTTTTTAATTGACAAAAAGTAAATTAAATGTTTGTCAACAAATATGAAGCTACAAAATGTTAAATGAGATAAAAATTACGAAGCTAAATGATACAAAATTAGTCAGTGGAGTGTTCATAATTTAAAAACGGATGACAAAAAATCACTGTATTTACTTTTACAGGATGATCCTTCTAGCCCTTTTATGTGAAAAATCACTTATTATGTCTTCAAAGTTTATCTTTGAGGCCATTTCTGACTCGATTGCTAAAAGAGCCAATGAGCTCATTCTCTGTTGGGCCATGGTGGATCTCAAAACACTTTTTATTATTTTCATTTTGCTAAAACTTCTTTCGGCCTCAGCCACAGTAACTGGTATCGTGCAAAAGATTCTTAGTGCTACACAGACATTTGGAAACAAATTTTCTAATTTCAACTTTTTCAGTTTGTTAAGCAATGCTAGAGGTTTCATTGGCTCAGTGCCAAAGTTGCAGTTGTGGATGGATTTTAAATGCTCAACTTCTTCCCCAAGTGCCAACCCTAGATCATCAGAGTAATGGCTTTGTAGCAATGTGCACTTTTGTTTTATTTCATCTTCATCTAATTTTTGGTATTTCCATAAAACATTAAACAGCTTATTACACTTCTCAGCAACTTTGAATCTTTCGGTTAGACCACCAATCACCGCGTCTGTTAGTTTATAGAAAACATTCACTTTGAACTCCCTCTCTTCTTTGGTTTCTCCTTCATTTTCACTGATCGAGCTGTCTTCTTTCTCCCCGTGTGCAAGTTTCCTCTTCTTTTTTCTTTTGTCAGGAAAATTAATTTCGCAAGGGGAATCGTAGTTCATGTTTTGTGCAACCAATTTGGCTTCGGAGAGTAAGGTGTCCCACTTGTTTCTTAGTATTTTCAGCTCTTGAAGTAAATCATCAATGTTTGCTACCTCAACATCAAGCGTTGCATCTCTTGCTTGTAAAACTTTATTTCTGATGTCAACCGAAGCCAAGACTTTTAACCAAATAGTGGCCATCAAAACACATTTGAATGAGTTTAAGTATTTCATCATTCCCTTCAAATCCGTTTTACATTCAGCAGTCAAATTCAGAGATGTACATTCCTGTAAGGCACGTTTTATGAGTGGCAAATGTTTTGCAAATGGCTTGACACTCTCCACACGAGCAGACCACCTTGTTTCTGATATGCCATGCAAGGAGCATCCTATATGTTTTTCTAGAATTTCCCAGCGCTGAGGGCTTCGAGAAAAAAACGAGTAAGTCTTTTGAACCATTCCAAAGAATGTGACGACTTCCTCACAGCATTCTGCTGCATTAGCACCACATAAGTTTAAACTGTGAGCCCCACAGTTCGAAAACAAAGCCAGTGGATTCATTTGAGCAATAATTGCCTGAGCCCCGTTATAC